GAGAAGTGCAACATGGTGAGAGAATTGCTGAGTAAAACTTAATGTGTGATCTTAATATGTGGGTCGTTCGCGCATTTACATAAATAATGGACATTTTAAAGGGGAGGTGAATTACAATTTTGACTCTGGTTTACGGTTTGCAGATTGTGTCCACATTCCCATGCTGGTGGTTTCAGTCTCAGCAGCAATTGGACTCGGTGTGTCTGCCACAGCTGCAGATGTTTGTTGCTCAGTTGAAAACCATTGCTCAGTGTTTAGATGTCACATCTCCAGCAGGCAGGTAAGCTCGTGCACTTTGTTCCCCTGCCATCTTGTTCGTGTCAAACGTGTACCGTTCCATTTGTAGCCGCTTACCTTATTTATTTGTGTGTTGCAGGGAGGCCATGGAGCATGTGACAAAGATCCGACAGACACTGCAATCATAGTGACAATGTTTTATTTGTAATGTAACTTATTGTGGTGATGTGTTAATATATTCGTATTGATCATGTGACTGAGTTATTTTCTGAGGATGTAGCAGCTGACTGACAAAAGGGGACCACAGTAGGAACCAAAAGTTATTAATGAAAGGGGCATAGCTTGATGTCAGATGCCATTGATCCCAATACAGATGTGTTGTTATGTCTGTCAAAACTGGGGCATTCTATATTCTACCTGTCATGATCTTGCAGTCACACGCAGTGTGACCCTACCACCGAATGATGTACAAGAATTGATGTAGGAGTAGTCAAATTTTACCAGGTGATTCTCCGCATACAGCATACAGGTGTCTGATGTGCTTGCATGAGGCAGCCTGCATCAATCATGGTGGCAGGATGACAGCTTGCCTGCCTGGGTTTGCTTTCCCTTTGTTGTAGCTAAGCCATTACAACTGATTTTGGCACATGAACGTTACATCTGTGTCCTGTACTTATATTGTGGATATCTGAGTTTTAAACTTTTCTATGTTCTCCACAACAAATGATGATAATGTGAGCAAGAATTGACTGACTTGTGTAAGAAAATTAAATTTCTTCAACAATTCGCTGTATGTATGTAAGGCCCACCATAATTCTAATGATTTTCTGTATGAGGCTCCCCTTTTAAGGCCCACCATAATTCTAATGATTTTCTTTTGGATGTAAAATACATTTTTACTGTCCAGTTTCCCCAAATAATTCCATGTTACATGACTGAAAGGAAGTAAGCATGGACTAATTTTAAACTTTTGGTTTTCATGAGTGATGAGATGGTCCTCATAGCAAAGCATGCTGAGCCTAGTTTAGGGATAATTTATTCTGTACGTGCTTTCCAATTTAAGTTGATGTCAATTTGTAGGCCAAGAAAATTAGTTGTTTCTACATCTTCAGTTGTTTTATACTCTTAACCCTGTAAGTAGCAGCTGAGACATGACACTGAACACTCCTATGTAGGGTCTAAGTGTCTGACGTGCATTATCGAAGTTAAGTTACAGAGATTTCGATCAAAACTCAAGAGTGGTGACTGTATTATAAAAAATTATTATTATACCATAAAGTGTTTGACATATGGGACTAAGCTTTCGATCACTACTCTGAAGGAGATCGTGTTTTAGATATTTATTACATACATACATCTTTATTACATTCCATGGATCCATAAGTTAGTCAGATGACAATAGGATGTAGAATAAGTCATAATAATACAATACATGTTATACAAATACAAGTCATATAAATGTCACAAAAATACAAACAAAGGGTTCACATAAAGTAGAGATAAGTTACAAATAAATCCACCCATTATATACAATAGATAAATTACGATATTATAATACTAATAAGTGTCTGACATGCGTTATTAAAGTTAAGATACAGAGGTTTCGATCATAACTTGGAGTGGTGATCGTAGTACAGAATTTTAATACAAAACCACTGAGTGCCTGACGTGCGTTACGAAAAGTTCAGAATTATCTGTGGGAGCTGTGTATAAGGCTACGTGGTTACATTTATTCGTTGCCAGGACTTAAGAACGTCGTCCATTTGTAATTATGCGAATCTTTTAGAGTTTAGGTTCTGATTGTAGTTTTATATTTGTTTTAGACTCTAATTGCGCAACATTTTCAATGCATAGGTGTCTCTCGAAATCGTTTAAAGCAGAGAGTACGCGAGATGATATGATCATCTGGAAATTGTGTGTAACTTTAGGGTAGTAGTTGGTACTACGATGCTTTGTAAGCGTCTATGTAAGGGTTTCCCATACTGCCTTTTAAAGGAAGTAACAAAAGCACGTCTGTTTTAATTAATCATGTGTAAGAAAATGAGAGGTGTATTATTTCAGTCAATTTCTCGTGAATATTACTCATTTACTGTAACGTTTCTTTCCTCTGTTATTATGGCGGAAGGGTGGTTGCTCTGCATGAATAGGACATGGGTGGGTATATCCTCCAAGAAAAACATTTTCATGTTCTTCACTTGACTCAGTAGGGAAACTTCAGTTGCATTTGTTTGAATAATCATTCGCTCATTCACTGCCAAATGGTTCAAACTGGATTCAAAATGAAAATGAAAAGGGTATTTGACAAAATATTCGAAGTGACACTGCACGAGATGCTGTTATTCACAGGAGTAGAACTTGCACTTAGCTATTGATCCCATTGTTCGTTGGCAGTAGCTGGTCTCGGCGAGCTATAGTTGCGTCGTCTGTACGAACTCCAGAACCCTGATGCCACTGATGACGACCTCTTGAGGTCGAAACGTGTATGGCGTCTTTTTATAGTGTTAATAGTTGTTGCTTTGCTTACTCTATATTCTAATACACTACACGGTATGCAAAGTTTTAAGTTTAATCCATTTGTTCAATCTATCAAAGACATCATTTATGCAATTTTGAAAACAGTCAATTTCTGGGTGTGAAATAATAATAGTATCGTCAGCAAAGAGAATAGCTTTAGATTGAGAGTTGATGGTTGGGAGTAATCACTGATATATACATGAAAAAGCAGAGGACCAAGTATTGAACCTTGAGGCACTCCGTGTTTTACAATGCCCCAATTTGAGTAGGTGCTATCATTTGAATTTGATGATTTTATTTCTACTTATTGCTTTCTGTCTTGAAGGTATGATTTAAACCGCTTGTCAGCTATATTTAGAATTCCATAAAAATTTAGTTTTTATGGTAATAAATCATGATTTACACAATCAAATGCTTTAGCAAGATCACAAGATATTCCACCGACATTCACTTTATTATTTAGTGTACTTAAGATTTCATCTGTAAAATTGAACAGTTTAGAGATTTTTCCTAAATCCAAATTGTTCACCTGCAAGGACGTTGTTCGAGTTTAAGAAATCACTTAATCTCTTATACATAACTTTTCAAATATTTTAGAGAATGCTGTTAGCATTAAAGTTTAAGAAATCACTTACCCTCTTATACATAACCTTTTCTAATATTTTAGAGAATGCTGTAATTAGACATGCAAGATTTTTCACCTTTTTCATATAGAGGGTTAACTTCTGATTTTTTTTCTGTGTTTTCTTTCCGCCATGTCTTACAATTTAACTAGTTGTATTTTATACTGAATCAGGGATAAGCTTTATAAAATTAGCCAGCAGACTTCTGAACTGGAATGAAATCATATAGTCTATTAATTTAGAGATTCACTGTGTTTATGTACCTTAGTTGATAGGCTCAAAAAAGTTTAATTTTTTTTAGTATATTCATTTGTATTCTAGAGTTTTTCGGTAAGTACATTTTGGAGCATTGACATCACAAGTTCACTTGTCTCTTCATTCACAGAACCTATTGAGGAGGTAACTTTTGTGTGGACTAAGTTTGCTTCAGTACCCCCAGCTCTCATTTTGTTATCCCAATTTGTTTCTGGCCTTTCATGCATTCCATTCTTCTCCAGACATTTATTTAACTCTGCTATGTATGTGACATGCCCATGTAGAGTACTCTGCATGTGTAGTTAAGACATTAGTTGTACTGCTCAGTCGAGTGCCTCGTAATGGGTGAACGTAGCCTTTCTGACTCTGCAACTGAAGCAGTGTCATTAGTAGACAGGAGCGCTGATCGCAATTTAAGGGTACGGATAGTGGTCTTCTGGGTTGTTGAGTGATTAATACTTTAGCTGTATGTGAACTTATTAGAGGGACATACCACGTCCATCTTCAGAATAGAATACCATACATTCTTGTGAGAACCTCATATACATAATAGATTTTGCATATCTGAAAACAGAGTTCAAAGTGGGCAAGTTGATCATAAGGGAGACAAGATAATGCATGAAGTTATATAATGAGGTGCTTTACTATTTTTTGTGTACTTCATCCAGTTTTGTGAGGCGGATTAAATTTAGAAAAATGTGATGTACTGGTCATGTAGCATGTGAGGAGAAAAGGAGAAGTGTATTTCAATGTCAGTTCTTGAAAAGTGAAGAAGAATGGTCAGATGTGAATGCTATGGGGATATGAAGGTGCCAATGGTAGCCAGCAGAGTCATGATTTGTTAGATAGGAGTATTACGCCCACACTTGTCAGCTTTTATACACCACTCCCAAAGGTTAAACATCACTAATACAAACCACTGTCACTGGACACTGTTGTGAGCCAGTTCACATTTTACCACAGCCTGTTTTGCTAAGGTCTATATTAATATTATCCTTTGTATATCTTGGTTTGCCTACCCAGCACTATTTGAATGCCATGACCATGACAGCACAGTGTGCCTTTCCCCAGCTCATTCAGTTTGTGTACAAACTACTCTGTTCTCCTTGTGGCACATAGTTCATTACCCCTGTGGGCGGTGACCTATATCTGTCTTATCTTGTTTACTTGTGTGTACAGTCACATCACATAACAGTTGTAAGAAACTGAGCCAACATCAGTATCACATCTCATTTTGTGCTGTGTAACTTCACCATTTGGTACAGCATTGTTTTATATGGCATCTGCAAGGAACAAGAGAGCATTATACACATATTTTGTGAATGCATTCCACATTTGCTTTGATGTTATCTTAATGTAGATAGAATTTGTGGCTGCAAAGCTAGTTATAGTGTGGAAGCCACGCTGCCTATGCTTAGAACTAATCTGTCGCATATTCATAAGGTATTCACCTTAGTTCATTGGGAAGTTTGAGATCTTTATGAGGTGTGTATGTTTGTGTTTTGTAACGCTTGTGATGAAATGTTACAGTAGTTCTTCATCAGTGATGTTTGTTGCGTTAGACAAAGTTAAATTTACTTAATGACTTTTAGTATAGATTCTTAAAACCGATTTTTTTCGAAATTGTTTCAGCGTTGTCAGAGGTGAAGGATACGGACACGCAGTTTCTCAATAATGGATTAATTTTAGATTTGAAATGCAAATACTGTCTCACTGATTATGTGGAAGAAGCGTGGAATAAGATCTCCTGAGATTACGTCTTGTAACCGACAATACTGTCTCACTGATTATGTGGAACAAGCGTGGAATAAAATCTCCTGAGATTACGTCTTGTAACCGATGTTAGTGATGCCAAATAGCAGTCAAGAGGAAAAGCCACTATGTAGCTGGGTTTTGAGGCCACTGCCCAGGCTGTCCTGACAGCCTGCAGCTCGGCTATCAGTAGTTTCTGCCCTAGAGGCTGACCTCGACCCCATGGATGCTTGCAGCACTTTGCAGCTGTCACACAGGATGGAGCAGATGGCAAGAGCAGGTGAGCAGATAGGAGCAGTCTGTGTTCACAGATGGGCGGGCGTTCACCGCACTTTGACGCGTTCTGCAGTGAGCTGTTCTTGAGACATTTTAATTTTGATTTGACCTTCACATAAAGATATATATTGCATGTGGACTGAAGCATAATACTGTAAGGGCAGCATGGATGTAAAATTCCATGCATTCTTATCCAGCTGCTTCAGCACTTTGTTATTCTTGGACAAATATGCCCCTACTTCTTCTGGTCTGAGCCATCCTGTTGGTGGAGCAACACGGACCAAATTCACTTGCGCTGTGTTGCAGTATTGCTGCTGCCACTGGTTGTCAGCACAGTTGCTTCTTTGGAGCTGTGGCTGCCAGGCAGGGAGGTCGTGTACCGTTATGAAACCAGTCTGGAAGCTGGCACGATATTCCCTGTGGCGACGGTATCACAGTGGAACATGACTGGAAAACTTGTTGTGCAGGGTGCTGGGCATATGGCAGTAGTGCAGGTTGGTATGAACTGGCCATTATTATCATGCCATCTCCTTCATGGTTTTACAAGTTGGTATTTTTCAGTATATTCATATCATGAAAATTTTGTGCTTACTGTTTCACCCATAGAACTTTTGTCTGTGTACAGCCTATAATGACTTTTTATTTGATTCCTCTGAAAATATTATATACAAATATAAATTAGAGATTTCTTTATTATATTTGTAATAAAGAGCACTGGGTGCAGCAGATCTGTAGTAAGAAACTGGCTGATCATGTCTCCTCCTTCTGACAGACACTCTGCAGTTACTGTCACCAGGTGTTTGCTGTGTGGGCAGAGGAAGAATAGTCAGAGGCATAATCAATAACAAAAGGCATTTCATGGCTTTTCCCAGTCACTTCAAGTAAATTATGTGGTAGTATGGGGCAGAGTTTGTTTCTTCTTTTTCTGAATAATCAGTACAGTTGATGGAGCATTGTGTTACAGCTACAAGACCTGAAAGTGTCAATGTATAATGGCCCAAGAATTCATGACACACAAGTAGTGGAAACCCCATTACCAGAGCAGGCCAGCCAACTGTTGCAACAATTTATAATCCATTATGATGCAGGACAGATTATAGGTCTGTCTGTTAAGGCAGGAGAGGATGAATGGGCCATCAACATGAAGCGGGGATTGGCAAGCCTGCTGCAGCTGGATTTGTCACACCTCCAGTCCGCTGCATTCATCAGCGCTGAGGTACGTAATTTCCGTAGGCAAAGATTCAAATTCTGAGGACAGTAAAATGCTTTAACTTTATTCCAGGCCTGTGTCACTGTGGGCTGGGCACTCTTTGCTGCCATCGTGTACAGATGGGCACTAGAGCCTCTCTGGCAAGGTGATGCGTATGTGAAGCTGACCACTCACCTGGTTCCTGTAGTCGGGTTAAGAATGTGTGTAGTTATTCTTTTGCTCACCAATATGGTGTGGTGCTGAAACTCAGAAACTAGTTTACCTTTTGTCATTACCATGATTATATGAACATTTCAGTGGATTGTGCACCAGATTTTATTGAATATCCAGAATGTGTTAAGCTTTTATGCTTCCTGTTAACCTGTTCAGAACAGTCACTATGGGCACTGCGATGTGGAATACTCAGTCCAGAGGCAGAGTAATGAGATGCTGGCAGTCCGCAAGTTTGTCAACTTCTCCAGTTGCATGGACTTCCCAGTAAAAAAATTTGGCTATGTGCAGAAGGTGTGCCCATCAGGGGCTGCCCAGGTACGTACTTCCTTACGCAAGCCAGTCAAATTGTTATCCTAACTCAAGGTGCCCAAAACAATGAAGATCAAGGTTTAGTTTTGTCCTTTTGTAAAACATGTCTCTTTGTCTTAGACAAAAACTTTAATGAGCAGTACTGGGGAATGTGATGTCATCCGATGTTAGTACAGTCTAGAATGTGTTGGACATACAGCTAGGATGGAAAGACAGGAGTTTCCAACAGAGTTTTGGTTGGAAACCTATTGGAAGTACACTACATATCCTGCAGGGAAGAAGGTGAACCTCAGTGGGAGAGGCTGTGGGAATGGGAGGCTCAGGATCATGGCCAGTGACAGGCTTTGATCTTCTGCGAGAGTTTTTGTCAGTTGGTGAGTGCTACCAACTTAAGATATTGTCCATTGCAGGAGACTGTAAGCTCTGGTAGTGTGCGTGCCTATGTTCTGGAACCATCTGGTCCTGCCGGCCACCTGGTAATTCACAGTATTCAAGCTGATGGGGTCACCCACCTGCAGCATTTCGGAGTGCAGTCCGACTCATACGTCTTGTGGTCGTGGTTAGTAGCTGTGTGAGGTGTGCTGGCTTCACTCATTAGGAGGCTTTTAGATTGTTATTTCCTTCCTCTTGGCTAATCTTCTTTTACCTCTGCTGCTTTGCTCTGTTCCATCTCCTCCTCGTTCTCTCTAGACTTATCTTCCTGCAGGGTTGGTCTGTACCTGCAACAGCAGGGCGACATGGTCGTGCCCCTAACTATGAAGGGAGGTGGTCAAAGAGTGGGATTGACTCACCAGGTTCCAGGAGCAGATATGTCGCAGGGGCGCAGCCACCCTAGCCAGGAGGATCTGCTCATCACGGTATGCTGACTGCAAGTTAATGTAGCAGCGTGTCATCACATGGTGCTAGATACTGACAGCGCTTGTTTTGCAGGTGGCTAAGATCCTTGGGGATTTGGCAGATAGCCTCGAATGGCGGCACCTGGAGACTGACCGGGGAATGTTGCATGAAGAGCATGTGGTGCATGCACTTCACTTACTGTCCCTGCTGAATCAGGCCAGCCTCCAGAAGTTGTACTCAGAACTGGAGTTTGGCACCAGCTACCAACATGAGACTCTCAGGTTTGTTACACTGGCAACACTCCACAGAACTGTGCTTGTGTTGGCAGCACTGCTGATTGTCATCAAACTTTGTCTATTGTGTTGGCAACAGGAACCTGTTCCTGGAGATGCTGCCCCTTGTTGGGTCTCGTGACTCCATCTTGTTGGTGCGAGACCTCATGGTGAGAAGGACCTTCCAGAATGATACAGCTGTTCAGCTCCTGTCTTCCCTCCCATTCAGTGTCCGCGAGCCATCGGAACAACTACTCACAGATTTGGAGGTTGTAGGAAACAAAGTGCAAACATGTTACAATGATAATCTTAGTTCACAAGTGAACCACATGGTGCATGTATGTGCAGGTGCTGCTGTTGCTGCCAGAGGGCACGCTGGAGCACCAGGCAGCAGTTCTGAGCTTTGCCACGCTGGTGAACAAGGTGTGTAGCGTCAGGTGTGCCCAAGAGACCCTAGATAAGTATGTGGGTCGATACCTGGACCTGTTCACAGGTATGTGGCCTAATTGTACGTGTTTTGGTCTGTGCCTGTGCCCGTACCTGTTCCCAGGCACTGGACCTGTGTTGTTGTATTGCAGGCAGCTCAGACCATGCCTCTCAGATGCTGTATCTGGTGGCCCTCGGCAACTTTGAGATACGACGAGTACTGCAGTTCTTGGCGCCCATCATACGTGGTGACGATACCGAGTACTCGCTTCATATCCGCATCCTGGCCGCATGGGCCACGATGGGTCAAGCCGCATTGCAGCCAGACCAGGTATAGTATAGCATGTCAGAGCACAGAGCAGATGATCTGTTCGCTGCCAGTTTAATTATTTTGTGCCTAACTTACTAACTGATTTTCTGTTGAGTTTCCTGGTATACAAATCACTCAGTGCCTTGTATTTTTCCTTGTATCAGCTGTATTTTGTAGAGCTCAAAAAGTAAATATTCAGAAAGCGTGTGATAATAAGAAGGGTGTTGTGAAATCACATCAGAAATCAGCTGCTTGTTGTGCTGGTTGTCTGTCTTTGAATCTGTTCAGTAGCACCCACCATTTTGTAATCTGAGGCATTGTATAAACTGAAGGGCAATAAAGTTCAGGCATCATCAACTACAAGGACTAGGCCTATGACCCAGTCCATCTCCATTAAGTTTTTTCCCACCACCTGTTGGCAGAACAGGAGTAGCTCCATCTACCAGAACCAACAGAATAGGTGTCTCTCCCTGTTTTACCTGAGGACAAAGGAAGATCCGTCCTACAAAACATAGGATTTTTTTAAGGATTTAAGGTTTATTGAGGATTTTTAAAGAACCAAGTGATGGATGAAGTCCAAAACAAAGAAACACCAATATAAAACATCAAATTGTGAAATATAAAATTCTTGGGGACTGTCCTCTCTTTCACAAAGATGGTATTAATGAAGTAGCACCAACCACTATGTGAGCACTCGGCTTATGCTGCGACCACCTTACCACCTATGAAAGCTGTTTGGGCCGCAGAGCCTTCAGGTGAGTAACGCAGGTGAAAGCTGTTTGTACCGCAGAGCCTTCAGGTGAGTAACGCAGACTCACTAAGGGAATATGACCACAGCCATCTAGTCTGAACTGTCCTAGTACATTTTGCAGTTGATATAGCATCGTTATATGGCAGGTATATCACCTGTACTGGCCACTGCTGACAAACAGAAGTGAGTACCTGGAGGTGCGGGTGGCTGCCTTTACGATGCTGGTGCTGTCTCGGCCGACCCTGGCTCGCTTCCACAACTTGATGCTCATCTTGCGACAGGAGCAGAACCCGCACCTGCGTCACTTCTGGTACACAACGCTGCACTCATTGGCGCACACTCACTGCCCCTGTTACAGCCACCTGTGAGTATATTACTGTGTCTCATTTAGTGCTAAATAGCGTGTAATGAAGTTACCGCATGGCTAAGTTTAACCTGAATCGGTATTTTACATAGTATTTGATAAACCAAATAATTAATAATATGAATATTTTTGTGTTGAATGAGAAATTGTGTTATGTGACAATAATATCTTTAGCACGTTCACTGCTTTCCAAAAATAATGTAATTTTGAGCTGTAAATCTGCACCCGTTATGATGGTTAGGGGTTTTGCGTGCGTAATAAATTAAAACATACAAAACATAGAGAACATTTTCTGATTCCTGAGTGGCAAAGAAGCGACTGAGTTCTGATTGTGATTGACAAATGGCCAGATATATGCTTGTATGATGGTAATGGCTTAGAGTTGACCAGTGTTTAGAGTGTGATTCCGTTATGGTTGCTAGAGGCTACTTATTGTAAGTGATCATCAGATAACGCTATGGAGGAAACAGCGACTTCATACAAACCAAACCCTGGCATGAAACCGCCAATTAAGTGAAACAATGTGCCTTACAAATTTGGAGACATGAAGCAGAGAACATTTTTTGCCGATCTGGTATAACAAATCTGCGCGACTGTAAGCTGTATGTTTTCTATAGGTTTGAGATTCAAGTTGCGTAGTTGGATGGTTGTGTCAATTTGCATCTCAGATATTTATTTATCCTAAATTTTGTGAGATTAGGAAAGTTTTATGTACTGAGTCTAAGATAATGAACTTTTAAAAGTGCATAGCTTGAGACAGCAATTAGTAACAAGGAGGAACTGAATAGTGGTTTGTTTGGGGGAGAAGTAGAAGAAGGTGGTACTTGTTAATCTTTGAAGAAGGAGGATAGAAGAAGAAGAGGTAGAGTTTGATCCAATATGTTTGACAGTGTGTGGAACGAGATGGTGTTTTTACCATCTGCAAAGCATTTCTAAGCAAAGAATTAAAAACTGATGATGATAATTCTCACTGTAAACTGCAATTATTTCCCTAAACAGCATTAACAAATTGATCTTTGTAATTGATATACTCTGTGTTTTCGATGCAGCAATAAAGGAATCTTTAAATATTATAATATTCCTTAGATGTGCTTCAGCTTCAGAGGGTTAAATAATCATTACTAGTTAATGATGTTTTGTTGTGTAATTGTGATCATTAAGGAACTGATGAACTGTAATTCATCAGTGTGGACACTTCCTTGCCGTATTGCAGGAGTGATGTACTGAGGTATATGATACATGAATGTCTGGCATCATGCTAGACTTTTTTATGTGCAGGAGAGAGGTGGCCAGGAACGTGGCGCGGTTCATTGCAGAGCCTAAAGTGCGCCGCTGGGCCACTGGCAACTACATACTGGACTATAGAGACCCAGATCATGGGTTCGGTTCCCTGGCCCACCTCATCATAGTGGCTAATCCTCGAACAGGACTGCCAGCTTCGTTCTTCCTGGATTTCAGTAGTCATGCAATGGACTTCAGCTATAATCAGTTTAGTGTGAGTATTAAAAAAAGGATTGAACAAGTTCAAATCTCAGCGAGAACACTGGCTGTAACTGGACAACAGACACACTTGGATGTGACATGACATTAAGTTCCACTGCTTGTTTGACAGTACATCTCTAAATATGGTTTTGTGTTTGATGTTTCTTAGTCTTTTTAATGACCACTTGTCAACTGAAAATGTCTTACAGCATCAAGTGAAAAATAATGTGGTGTTTGAGAGGAAATTGTTCAAGGCTTATTTGAAAGATCTCACATTCATGTTGCAACTATTTGCATTTTAGCAGAAACAGATTGTCGAACAAATTTCCTGGACTTCTATATGCACAGCACAGTAAAGTGGAAAGTGCAGTGATTGCACTTGCATGTTGCAATATGTTGATGGAGACTACTTCAGAATAGTAATTTTAGACATAGCCAGAAGATGTTGGAATGAGTTGCCATTTGGGTTGTGTGGCAAACAGATCTATGTCAGGCTGGACGGACTGGGAGATGCCATGAAGCGGCAGCTCATGCACGCCGGGTCTGTCAATGTCACACAGTTGATACACCTGCTGCAGCAACTGGAGGTGCCGGTGAACCCGTCGGAGCCAGTTCACGTGGAACTTCTGGTCAGATTGCATAACAAAGCCGTGCTTGTTCACCACGCAAATCAGAGCACACTCAGCACACTGTTCCGAGGTGAGCACCGAGCAGCTGCTTCATTTTACTGCCACTTCTCAGTTGATGCTGAATAACCCATTCACTTGATATGGCATTATCAAACTAAGAGAAATCTTGGTAGGTGTGCCTCTATAGCATGGTGTGGTTGAAGAAAGTGACTTTATGGCAACTGTGTGAAATCTTTCAGTTTGCTGAAATCATGCTATGTTGTAAAATTATGCAGGTGTAGAGATTACAGCTTTCCAGTCTTGTTCTGATGATGTCAAGTAACAAAATCCTGAAATGTGGCTTGGGTTCAAACTTTGACATATCTTCACATTCCTTACCTCTAAAAAATCCATACTTTTAGATACAAAAATTAATTTTAAGGAGCATGTTACTGAAAGTTGTGTTTAATCTGTAAGTTATGAACCATCTAAACCCTAAAGTCTTGTTAATGATGGTTGCAGTTTTGAATACCGTACAGCTACTAGCAAGTGGCGGCGTTCATCTGAATGCCCAGAACATCATTGTTCCTCTCCTGGTGGAGGAGACACGAGCCACAGACCTCGGAACAAATGCCATACTAAAGGTGTCTTCTGGGTGGCTGGTGTCTGTTCGTGCAAATTTCACAGTCAACCCAGTGCACTCTAGTGGGCTGCATGTGCGGTGAGTTCAAAATAGTACCCAAGGCAAGCAGTGACTGCGGAACGGCCCTTTGGAATCAACGGGACATGACGATACTGCTCTCATATGTTATATGTGATTCCAGAGAAAGTCATCACTTATCTAAAATATGAATGCAACTCAGTGAATGAAAAACACTCTGTCAATTTGAGACCTTCGGCTCGCCACTGTGTTTTGTGTGGTCAGCATATGTTGTTTTTTAGTATTGTATTACATTGTGTGATGAAAAATTAGGTACTGCTGAAGTTAGATATTTAATTTTAAGAGAATAATTAATAAACACAACAAATCAACAAATTTGTTAAAATAATTGAGCATTGTGTGAACCTGTTTGCCCAACATATTTTATAATTTGCCACAAAATTTCAGTGCTTACAAAATACAAATTGCAATGTACAGTTTAGTGAACTGTATGTGTATGTTAGTCAAAGATCAGTTGCAGTTAATGTTCCTTAATTGCAGTTCCTTGCTCAACTCCCGGACAGCTCTGATGCAGTACAATCCAGTTATGAATGTGTGGCATGGCGTGGAGCAGTCAGTCAGTATACAGGTGAATGTCCCATTCAGTCTTAAGGCTTCTTTCAACACAACACAGCAGAGCATCAGGTTCACCGTCCGGCAAACTCCAGGTACTGAAGGAAGGCAACGGATGTAAGTTGCTTAATATTTATAACTGATGGTTTACCCAAATCAGACTTCGTTCAGTGTGGTGAAATTTTAACAGTGTACAAAGAAACATAATTTGTCAGTTTTTACTGTGTGATTATCCTTTAAAACTGTAAACGTATGCAATGAAATAAACAGATATCATCGCAGAACACATTTCTGTAGTATGTGTGTGTGATGGATAAATTTGTGTGTTCAGGCGAAGAGCTGGGTCTAGTGACGCACATGCGCACCGCTGTGTTTGTGAAGGGTGTTGCAGCTGCCACAGAGCTGAAGTCCCACTGCTCAAGTTGTCCTTTGTATGTTTCTGTCATGAGGAATGCTCCACAACCCCTGTTGGTGAGTGCACCGCTGTGCCTAAGCACCATTCCGTCATGTCAGCGCTCCACGCACAAGGTGGAAGTGGTGGTCTTCAGATCTTTCAACAAGATTTGTTGAAGGACCCATGAACCAGTGACTGTTCATAAGACTTGGATTTCAGTAAACAGAATACACAGCAATTTTTATGAAGTAGTTCTTAGCCAGTGATTTTGTTCCATGTTTGTGAAATGAAAAGCCTCCTTCAAAGGGTTTCATTTTGCAGACGTTCAGTGCAATTTGATGACGACAATGGAAGTATTTTTTGTTAAACCACCATGTCTGAGATGTTGAAGTTCGTGTATAAAGTTAGCAGTCGAGTACTTTGAAGGCTTCTGCACTCTGTGAAGGGTTTTCTTTTACAGAATTATGCAAGATTTCATATATGGAGGAGTGAGAACTTATCCACTGTTGTGTGTGTTCCCAGCAAAATCTGGTTCACGTAGAGCTATCTGGTTTGAGACTTGAGATGGCACTCCTGGACTGTGATCACTCATACAAAGATGATGATTTGGCAACACTGATACACCATGTGATAGAACACCATAAAGACCATGTGTTCCCAGCTGGTAGTCCCCTGCTCAGGCTGGCCCATCTGTTGGACTACATGATTTTGTTGCCCCATAGTAACAGCTGTGGCCTGTTGGCAAGAATATTGCCCACTGGGACACAGCCTATAGAGGTGAGTGATTTGTTTTTTAACTGAAAAGTTTCATTTGGTTTTATGAATGACTAATTCTGAATTGGTTTGAAGTCATTTGTCCTTGTTCAGGTGGCGATGAGTATTCGAGGCCAGAGGATGGAACAGTTGGACACGCTGCCTGCTGGAGATAGCAGGCTGCAGGTGCATGTGACGCGAACCCCAGCGAGTAGCACCTCACCCTATTGGGACATGGCTGTATTGTATGGTCATTCCGCATCCCTCTCAAAATACAAGCTTACCACAGAGGTTACCATCAACAATGGACACAAGGCAAGTTTTTTTATTGAGTGACGACTAAAACATGTACCACCTTTGTTTTGTTCTTGTAATTCCAAGCAGCTACTTCTCTCCTTGCTCAGCAGATGTGTGTGGATGTGACAGCCTTCATAAAGCCTTCAGACTTTGTGGTGTCCATATTTTGCCCAAGGTCTCACTCTGCCACTGTCATGCTGACTTCCTTTTCGGGTCACCCCACTGATGGAGAACATTCCAGCCTGCAAGTTACGGTGCATGGACAGGCAGCTGCTGCGGAGTGGAGTGCAGCCTGGCCGTATAGCGCGTGCAGAAGGGACCTCCAAGAAGTACGGCTGTGGAACAGCCACTGCCTGCCTCTCACACACGCCTGCTATGAAATAGTGCATGAGATAGCAACCCTGCGCTATTACAATATTTCCATCAGTTCCAGCAATGTGAGCTTCTGCTATGCTCATTAATTCTCATACTTACACAAAGAACTGCCTTGAAAGAGTTCCATGTTTAAAAGAAACCAGATATCCTTACATGGATGTTGACATCACTTAGACATCAGAAGGTCACAGGGATCCAAAACATGTAGACAGTTTTTTTTATAAGCTGTAATGCACACTTGTGTCTTTTATACATGTGTACAAGAAATGATGTTTGCCTACATCATAAACCTGTAGATGAAGGATATTTAACTCACATGTACACTTCTGTTTAGTTCTGATCCATGTAATGCAACAAACTACCTGTGTTTGAATACAGGCAAAATTCAAATAAGAAACTGTTTCCCTCAACATTACTATCCGACATGTTCGCTTTGCAACAGCTGCCAGCATGGACAGATGCTCTTCTGGACCTTGGGCCCTCCAGACTGGTGTCTGCACTCTCCAGTAACATCACTGCACATCTCGCTGTACCCCAAGAATCCAGTCCTGTGCTGACAGTGAATGGCTACAAGATGGTGCTGGGATCATCTGTCAACACAAGACTGCAGCCATTGCTAATCAACACACAGTTCTCCCCCGTGCAGCGACTTCTCACGCACGTGAGGCTAGTGGGTGAGTTCATGTTACCACTTCAACTGGTGCAGCGTATTTAAACAAGCTTTTAATTCCCACTAGCAAAATCATGACCTGCTCCTTCCCCCAGTTTATCATCATATTTATTCCTCTTGTATCAAGTCATGAAATTACCAATTACTTGCTGTGCTGTGGGAATGTTGCATTTTTGTGCTCTAACACCACTCTTCCTAATCAATGGCGTTATTCTCAGTCATAAGGTTCCTACCTGCTGTCTGTCTTTCAGGTTCCTGTGTGCTGACCCTACACAATGTGTGGACACTGGATGGAGCAAACCTTACAACAGATGTGCCTGCTTGCTATGCGCTTGCCATTGCAGACTGTTCCCTCCAGCCCCAATTTGCACTGTTCATCAGGAAAGTGGAAGGCACCGTTTTACCTCTGGTACAGTATGCGCTCCAACATTACTTGCACAGTTTCAGTCATTCCACCACTAAAGATTGTTTTACGTTATGTGGATACATATAAAAAATGGATGAAACATATTTTCCAGCAGGAGAAATGGCACCATTTATTAAACATCTCTAAAACTATTTATTCAGTCACTGTGTCTGGGAGATACACAGTTTGAATCTTAGGCAAGGCACTGCCACTCATGAGATCTTCAGGCTAAATCAGGCAACTCTCTCCCTGTAAATCCTTTAACATTCAATCATCTGCTTCATCTCATTTGGCACTATGTAGCGTCTGCAGTTGAAACAGTATTGTTAAATAGCCTACTCATCAACCAGTCCAGCCCATTCGTGCTGACAGAATTGAATGGAACATACAATAGAATGCTGAAATGATGGCTGTATACTCATCTGTCCCATCAGAAAATGGTGCACTTTTCTGCAACCTACAATAATGAGAGCCGAGAAGAACAAACTACCTTATTGTTATTGCAGGCTGTGAAAATGTATGCTGCTGGCAACCAGATAGAAGTGTTGCCAACTGCAGATCAGGTGGCCATTTCAGTGAACAACCGGACAGTGACAAGTCCGCAGGAAGGCTACCAATACCCGTCCACAGGCAGTAACTATGTCTTTAGGTGAGTACAGCAGAACAATAAAATGCATGCAGGATGGTAGCTACTTCATACAATAGTTATCACTGAACCTACAATGTCAATAACAGTGGATTTACCATCTACATTTGTTGTTCAGAGTAACTGTAACATTCCTGGACAGAATTCTCTTTATTCTTCACACATTTACCGCCTATTCAGTGATTCTTCCATTTATGGAAGCACATACAGAAATTCTGTATTTTGAACTCCACAAACAGACTGCAGTTTTTTTTATCTAATCTCTTTCCTGCGAATGTTAACTCGAGTTCAATCGAAATAAACACACGTGCAAGAAGCTGAGAGTTACGTAAGTTCAAGCGAAATAAGCACACGTGCAAGAAGCTGAGAGTTACGTAATATTACAGAGCAGTGTCACCTGAAGGTCGTCGTAGTGCTATGTGTTCTGACATTGCAGGGTGTGGCAGCAGGTAGACGGGCTTGTCCGGATTCACTTGCAAGAAGCCCACGTGTGGTTGGAGTACTATGGGCACTTAGCTACAGTGTCAGTACTAGGCTTATATCATGGAGATCTGTGTGGGCTGTGTGGTGATTATAATGGTGATGAGGGTGATGATATAGCACAGGTGTTCACGCTGACATGTCCCGATGGACAGTAACCTGCTGCTCAGTTCAGAAAATATGTCTTCAAGATGAAGTATGTATTCTTTTCTAGATCTGTGTGGTTCAGAGCCAGTTTTAATCTTCTGGCTAGCCAGGTGGGGATCAGTTTCGTTTCGGTGCAATAAAACACGTTGACTATACTACAGCCATATTTTAAGTCTGCCCTTGTTACAAATATGTACAGCGACACAAATGCATACATTACCCTCTGCATAAAGATGGAAGCATCAAATTATTCAAGTTATTGTTCATCACCACATTCACAAATGCCTTCCAGCCTGTCCACATCTTTGCATTGTATTATAACACTTTGAGGACAAACATTTGAGGCACATCAGTTTCGGTTTTCAATTACACAGACTCGTGGTAGTCTGCACGCCAGCCTGAACAAATGACAGGCGAGTTGTACACTGAAGCGTTTCATTCGTTCTGCTGTATCAGATACAAATTTTGAAAATGGCATCTTCTTAAAATAACTGGGACATGTATCCAGGATGCTGATCCTCAATGTAAGCCTCCAAAATGGTCTCTTATCTTATGGTTTTCCAACAATATTTTGTCTGTATTTATTTATTTATTTATTCTTCATGACACTAATGAATATTTACAGCAATTTCACAAGATTTGTTGCATTTGAACCAGTCAACATGATCCAAAAGTAATCTGGTGTGACTAGGAACATCATGCAACTGCATGGTTCAACTCCTCCAGGCTGGCCAATCTACTAGCAGCCAGGCATGTGTGAAACAGGCTGATGCGTTCATTAAGACATCCGTTCGCCATTTCATCAGCCTGCTGCACAGGAACAAGCTGAGCGTAGCTTCGTTGGTACTTGATAATGGCTGCCAGGAGGTGCCAGATACTGAATTCTGGCCAGAGGACATCTGCAAAGTAGATACAGCTGCAAGATACCTGCAAGACAACAGAAAGAACTTATCAATGCTGTCAGCTGCATGTATGATGGGATGATGATGAACTGAAAACTGTAAAGAAGGAGCTGTGGCCATTGCCCTTTTCAGCTTTCAAACCAGGTACAACATAGAAGGGTCATCACTTAAGCTATCCTGCATCAACTACAGAGCTTACCGCCCTTTTCAGCATTCAAACCGGGTGCTATCCTGCATCAACTACAGAGCTTACTTAGTGTCATAGATCAAAATATCACAAATGAAACAATGTGGCAGTAGGAAGGATTTGCCAATTGGAATGACAAGAACACAGGCCATTTGAAACACATTGACTGGGCAAGGGACAGAAAATTGCAATTAAAAAGACTATTCATGATTCATGTAGTTCTACTGGTAACTAACATTTATGTTTAACTTTGTCAATGGATGTCCTGTATTATGTGTTAGTAGAAGTACATGTCACTTGGTTTTCTGCAGTCCTACCATGGAAATGCTGGGATAGTACATTATATTAGGCCACAACCACTTCCTTCCCTGACTGGGCAAGGGACAGAAAATTAAAAAGACTATTCATGATTCATGTAGTTCTACTGGTAACTAACATTTATGTTTAACTTTGTCAATGGATGTCCTGTATTATGTGTTAGTAGAAGTACATGTCACTTGGTTTTCTGCAGTCCTACCATGGAAATGCTGGGATAGTACATTATATTAGGCCACAACCACTTCCTTCCATGTCCTTTTTAATTTAATGTTGACTTGATCATTCAATTACTGCATGCTTTTTGACCTGATCTATTGACAACACTGTTAAATACACCAAGCCTAAATAAGATAAGTTGACAAATGATGGCACTACTTTTATGAAAAAACAAGAATTTATAAGGTTTAATACATGTTTGTGATGAACAAACAGGTCACACATGAAACAAGCACTGCACTGCCGTGAAACTGAACGTGAACGAGTGCACAGAAATTTACAATGTACTCAAATGAAAGACTCCTATCTGTAATAACATTCTTGGTGCTACAATGCAAATGGAAGTTCATTCTCCAACTTAAGTTACCAACCTGCCACAACAAATAGTCGCTGAGCCTGACCTCTCCGGAGGTTCGGATCAGCAGCTCTGGGTCGGGGCTGGTGCTGGTGTATAAGCAGTTTGACAGTAGCTGTTGTGTCACATCTGATAGCTGAAGGGCGTCACGTTCGACGCCAGACACTGCCGTCCGAACAGCCTGTGCCATCTCCTCACGAGCTAAACAGATATTGCAGATGTGTGATACTTTTGTTAGCATTGGCATGGGTATACAATCTGCAGCATCACGCTTGCTTACCTGTGTATGCAAATGCTACATTCAGAAATGTTTTCTTGTTGTCCTTGGTGAGTATCATGGCTTGTGCTATAAGCTTCCGGATGTTCTGTGGCAGAAGCGACAGGTTTCCGATAACCCTTATACACACACCATGCTCCATCAGCTTGTCCCTGGCAAAACAACAAAACATCCTAACATTTTTATTATCAGATGATTTGAAGTAATATTATTGTTTGATAAAGCAACTAACTTTTCACTCAGCAATCTTTCAAACTTCTGTTGGGAGAGTTCCATCAGAGCATCAACCTCTTCTTGGCTGCGTTTGAAGTTCTCTATACTGAATGCATAAACTGTAACTTCAGGGATTCCAAGGTCCAGGCACCACTGTAAAGTCTCTGCTAACTTGTCAAACCTAGAAGAGCAATTCCTAATCATTTCTGTTAACCAAAATATAACATTTCCAATGGTTGAATGTGCAATGACTTACCCCTGAGAGTGGCCCTCAAACTTTCGTACATTATTTTTTTGGGCATATCGTCTGTTGCCATCCATAATAAAAGCTATATGTTTCGGCACTCTACCACTTTTTATAATTTTCACACACAGAAACTGTATCCAATTTAATGTACTGGCACGAATCCATGACATTTTACCAAGGTTCTACAAAGCAATATCTAATCACGAATTTGGAATGATCTACAACAAATTAGGGAAATAATTTCTGTAATAAAATGTCACCAAGAACTGTGTAATAGCACCATTTGCCTCCTTTGTAGTTCACTGTCTTCACTCTTCCACATCACAGCACCAGCCACCTGCATTTTCAGCTGATTCAAGTCCATTTTCATATAGAGAAGTAATATTCGGAGTAGGTATATTCATAATGAAGGATTTGTGTAGCTAATGGAGGTGCCGTGAGTAATTTAAAAAATTCGTTTTCGGAAATGCATCATTTGGGTTAAAATTAAAGTTATAATTCATGCTACATTTCTTTAACTTCTTATGGAATATAATGGTAGAACTGTGATTCACTCCACACCTAAATTTCTCTTCGCAGGGACTCACGCCATCTTGTATTCTTTCGCGGAGATATTTCATGTTCAGCCGCCGCATTACAACATTATTTTAAATGCAAGAAGATAGATAATTTGGTCAGTAAGGTACAACATGACTAATGTGGAAAATAGATTACGTAAATTGTTCCATTTATATTTGGGCGGCACAAGTTTTGGATAAGAGGATCTATATGATTTTGCGCGCCACGCTGCACGTACAGTAGTGATGCGGCTCAGCTAGTGAAGTGTGTAGTTAGAATGGGTTCTGATGTGGGTTTATTAAACATGTTTAGAGAAAAATAATATATTTTCATTAAGTTGTTTGTAAACAAAACAATAAATACGTAATTATGGATATAGGTGTATCAAATAACCAAACTTCAGTGACTGCAGGTAAGGATATATGTGTATACTTGTATAGTTTCGGTTAAAAACTGACGGTGATATGCGTTATGTGTAACGGCGTTCGTTCCAATTGCAGAACTGTATTTCCTGATCGCAAAATTTTTGACTGCTGGTCCATGTCAGGAAACTGCAAATGTAAGTACACTTGCAGAAACTTGTGCAGAATGAGGTTCCTTTTGCTGGTATTTGACCATTTTTTGTTTTATATTGCAGGTGTTGAAACGAGAACTGGAAAATTCGAAGGTGAGCATTGAGTTTGACGTTCAGCTGTGCTTGTAGTGAAGCCACCGCATGGTTTGCACGTGGTTTCCATCAGTCAAAACATTACATATGTAAAGTTCAATGACCCTGAATGTAAATAAAGGTCCAGTAACAGTCGAATTTCCTGTAACTTGACATTTTAATTTTTTACAGGCTTTGCCCAAAAGATTAGATTGGCAAGGAAATGAGCATCAACAAACTTTTCAGGAATTGGTAAGTATAATTTTAATGAATGGTATACGTATTGGACATTCGTTGATTGACATAAGGATAAAGGCGAATTTCGTATTCAATGGAATAAATAATTATGTTGGTTAATATACTTAAAGGAACTTTAAATATATGCATTGTATTCAGGATTTGATATTGGAAAAGGAAAATCGTTATTATTCTGCCCCTTTGGACGCACCCAACCCTCTCACTCTCCCTGTTTCAGCGTCCTACGTCATTAAACTCCTACTGACCAATGAGGCCCAGGTTTGCGAGAATGTATGACGTAATGTAATCGATTGGAATGCAACATTCGTGTTGGTTTGCTGCACGGCCCGAACCTGTGTAGTGATTGGTTGAGATGCTCATTTTTTTTCATTGTACAGCCAATCGCGTTAGAGTATCGTTAGCATCGTCAGAAGTAACATCTATTAATACCTGTACGAAATGGAGTACTATTTTTCCAGAAATATGGGCTAATATCGTTACTTTTCATAAGTTGTTATAGAGAAACGATGTTATAGAACTTAAAAGGAAAATGGGTTGAGGTTATTTCAGGACTCCCATAGTTTATATTTTTTGTGCTCCCTGTGAAGTTGAACAGCTTCGAATGACTGCGTAAGAAATGGAAGACTACCTATGGTGGAGTGGAGTATGACTTTTAGGTTGTTTTGATGGTCTGCTTACCCCGTACAGTTCTCGTATGTTATTGCCAGTGCTGTTGGAGAGGCATAAGACATGTCACGCATTTCTGTTACTGAGCCTGTTCAATGATAATACCGTATACCATTGATGATTTTGAGTTTTTAATGCTTCAGTATGAAAAATATGCAATACGTGACATGTAAACGTTGTAGTTCTATCATCTAATGTTTCTGTATATGACACTGTAAGGGGCGACTTCAACATTTGTCCCCCCCCCCCCTTTCCTCTTGATAACTACAAATGGACCATCCCCAATTAGCAGATATTTGCTGGTTGACGAGTAAATGTATACTTGTTAATGAAATCCCATAATAAACTTTTGGTAACGTTTTTAATTCATGGAGGGACGATTCACAGAAGCAGACTACTGGCAGTACAAACACAGCAGCAATGAGTTGATTCCTTCCTGTATTTTGGCAGTAACCTCAGACCTCACAAGTAATAAAGTAAGTTACTGTGTCTAGAGTATTTGAGTGTAGTAGGTAGACACTGCAAAGAAACATATGTAGCAGGTTTCAAAGGGGACACAGCAGCATCAATTGAAATTTGAAGAAGGCACCTCCTAAATCCAGGTTCACCAACACTTCCATGTAGTTGAGGTTTATTTATTGTTGTGACAGTTTAGTAGGTGTGGTATTCAGAAGGTCCTCTGTTCTGGTCTTGGCCATATCAACCAAAGGCTGTACAGTCGCTTCATGGTTGCTATGTGAATTGAAGCCTCTCTGTTATGTTTCAGGAGCGAAAGTATCCTCATATTGGTCCCACCTATCTACTGGACATCTGCCACCGAATTGGCCCAATCCTGGACAAGGAGATCAAGCCCAGTGTGCCCGGGGTGACGTCTCTTCTGGGCGCGGGTCGTCAGTCCCTTCTCCGTACTGCCCAAGGTATGTGACTGTGGGCCTAAAGCATGATTTAGAAAATAGGTATAAATGTCACTCATCTGATTCCGGCGTAGTATGTGCTGTAGTTACAAGTTAAGATACAGCAGCAGTTTTCACAGTTTTATTTTTCATTTGTTTAATAAATTAATTTTATTACAGCTTTGTATTCAGTGTTGGTTACATTATATGTGACTAGTGAGTAATTACTTTTCACTCTGAATATTAAGTCAGATTATTTTATGTTAGTCAGTGGATTATGCTCTTCAACTGCCCACTTGTTTTTCAGCGATGTTAGTGTTATGCTATGTGTGTGTTTATGTGCGTTTGCTTGTTAAGTATTTCAAATGCCAGTCATCATTTTTGATTGTTTCTGATAAAAGTGGAGAAGCTATGTACTTTTCAACCTTAACAGTTTATGGTGTTTGCAGGCCTCCAGCAGCGGAGCCCGCACATAGTCCAGTATGGCACGCGGCGTCGTGGCTGCCCTGTTCCTAACCCCGTTGGTTTTGCCAAGCAGCACAATCTTGGTGAGTCCCGGTGATTCTGTCTTACACTACTGGCGACTGTCTTGTCTTGTATTGCTACTGACGCCGTGTATGTGAATTGCAGTCCAAGTGTTGCAGGGACGCGAGATTGCCGGACCACTACAGCGCAGACAGGCTGTTCCCACCCATCTCTACAGCAAGCAGCAGCTGTTCAGCCGCACACTGGGACACCTGTCGGCTGTTTACTGCCTGCTGTTCGACCGTAGTGGCCGCTACGTTATCACAGTGAGTGTTC